TTGTTTCGGAAAATATTAGAAATGGTTTTATTGTCTTACGAAACAAGAATACAACAAATTTTTGTTTTTGCTATTTCTCTATTGTATTGTGTATTGATATTATATTGCCATTGTATACGGGTAATGCAATTGTATTTGACCTGGATTATCATTTTAAAGTAATAGCTACGGAATATGAATTTTGATATTTCTATTCGTTTTAAGATTTGTAGTAAAAATAAAAGCAAAGAATATCTAATAAATAAATAAATAAGTAAATTGTCTTATATAAGAGGGGACAGGCATTTAGATAAGGGGTTGACAAGTCTTATGTTTTAAAATAGGATTTGAATATAAACTGACATTTTTCTCCGATAATGTATGAAAGTTATAAATACAAAAACAAACAGTGAATGTTTTGAATTCATTATAATAGATAAATATCTCAAACAAATATAACAAAAAACATTTTTCAGTTGAAAACATTTTCTTAAAAATAAAGGCAACAATAATAGAAATAAATAGTCTGCGAAACATACCTGTGTAGGGCAGCCTATAATTGATCAAAAAAAGGTTAAACAAACACATTAGAAATGTTTTAAATTAAGTGCCAGAATAACAGACACTATCATTGCATTCAAGCAAACGTGACATTTGATTATGTTTTATATGTCTTACTATTTGTCTATTTGTTTGACTCTTGTATTATTCAAAGATTTTTAGTTTTACTTTCGGAGCGCAGACTTCACTCAAAAATAATTAAATATCTCATTATTATCTCGTATATAGTATTAGCTATTCATACGAATAGCAAAAAGCAAATGCTTTTCATCTGAAATGCAGAACCAATTTGTTAGGCGATGGGAAATGCCATTTATGGATGTGTCCGATCTCTACCATAATATGGGTATAACAGGGCTCGTAGTGTTTGAATACCACTCGATATCTGGTGATGAATGGAGTGAAAGGCGAAAAAAATGTGATCAATTGGATGAACAGTGGAGCGCACCAGTGATGGCACACAAGTGAGGGAATGGTATGTGTGTTGCGCCAGTCGTGATGGTAATGATGGACACGTTTGGGTGATGTAGTGAATGAAGTGTACAGTGTATTGATGTAGCGATGAGTTGTTGGTGTGTTATATGAGGTCATGGATAATATGGGATAAATTTAAATTTTTATTACATCAGTCTGTCAGATATATATATATAGGAATTTGTACTCAAATAAAGTCTATTCTCGCTATTATGAACCAATCAATTGTGCAATATTTACTAAAATAGACTAATATTCAAGTATTTAATTCTTTATAAAACAATACAATTTAATTAGTAGATACTAGCAGATATTTTAAAATTTATTTATTTACTAATAGATATAGAAAGCATAGCATAGATCTAAGCAAAGATTTGCATGGATTGGTGTCAGTACTGTATGTATTTATCATACTGTATAATTTATACCGTATCACAAATAAATTGTATTGCGAAATATATATTTATTTTATAAAAAAATCAGATAGTTTTATATAAAACATGTTGATATAGACATTTGATTTAAAATTCAAATTTGATTATAAAATTTAAGTCTATTCACATTCATACATAAGCTATTGATTTCAAACCTATTTAGTTGACTAAAAGCCAAATAAGGCTTACCTATCGATACAATTCATTTAAATATTTATATACAGTGTATATAAATAAGGAAAATGGATATTAACTAAAGCTAACATTTACAACTGACCTTTTAGACTGAAAAATCACATAAACTTTAGAAAAATGTAATATACAAATTAAAACTACCAATTATGTGTTATGTGCCACATGAATACATCCAGACACAAAAATAGTAGAAATATAATTTTCTAAATACACTATTTATGACTTTATTGTCAATTGTGATGATTAAAGCACTCATCTGTCAACACATTCACTATTCTTATGCTTTATATGAATCTCAAGTGATATAAAACTGACACCAAATATATGACAAAAAGTTACGTTCCGTATGTTATAACAGGACGTGAGATGTTATATAAGACCTCAATATAACAGTATAAAACTGACATAAAACGTCTCAGAATAACAAATACATAAGTTACGCAACCGTTATGGACTGTCTAGGCTCAGGTAGTGCTTTACGAGCGGCAAATCGGTAAGCATCATTACGTCTGGATAAGCCGTGGAAAGGGATGAACAAAACAACAGTCAATGGAAACCACTTTTGAATACAATAGAGTGAATGAATACAGAGATAGTCAGTGAGAACGAGTGAAATACGAGGCAATAGCTATTGAAATGCAATACATGGATAGGGATGGAAGGGAAGGGAAGGGAGAGAAGTATCACAAGAAATGTCACAAACGGTTCGCTTTATTGCCACAGATTTCGTGTGACGACAAGCGATAAGAGAAGAGAGAATAGTATTGCATAAGAGAGAGAGAGAGAGAGAGAGACATAAGTGGAAAGGCATACAAATGGTTGACAACGAATGGAGTGACAATAGTAGCGAATAGACAATAGAATTGAATGGCACTCACCTAACGTTGTTGGGTGACTCAGGCCTGTGATTGTGCTTGATCATTGTGTACCTGCCTATCGATTCGGGCGGTCGTATTATATGCAGGTTATGGAACTTTAGCCTATTATGAGAGAGAGAGAGAGAGAGGGGGAGAGAGAGAGAGATTAGTGAAAAATGCATTAAATTTATAATTATATGTTTCCATCAAAACACACAATTGGTGTCAAAACACATTCCTGTGCCCATGAATTGCAGTGAGATCTGAGGGGAAGGCGTGCTATTTATAAGCTGTCATTACGTTTTAATAGTTTTCTAAAGTGTATTGTATTTAGACCTTTAAATACAATACAAATGTGAATAATTAATGAGCAATTTGTACGAAAAATTCACTGCAATTGTGTGGACAACCCAAACGTGTAAAACATGATGAACTGAGTGCACATAAGTGTATTGTATTTAGACCTTTAAATACAATACAAATGTGAATAATTAATGAGCAATTTGTACGAAAAATTCACTGCAATTGTGTGGACAACCCAAACGTGTAAAACATGATGAACTGAGTGCACATACCTATAAGCCATGTCATCGTCCTCTCCTATGTAAGCAAACAAACCAAACAATCATTAATTGCAATTTTTACGCCACAAAAACTTGAGACAAATGATACAAGTTTTAAAACTTTGTGATCTTAACAATAATGAGTGAAAAACAAAAAATTATATGTAATTCCCTGGACTTAGAAAACATTTTCGTTGTATTAAATGTCTTAAACAATAAGAATTATAATTAATTCTTACGATAAGATTCTCTATACTGAACACCAGCTCAACCATTAATGACTGTCTGAGCGGAGAATTGTTAGTATTTTTTAAGTCGAAAATCTTTTTTTCATACAAACGGCACAAAAAAGAAATCAAAACTAATCCCAAATTTTTGCCTGCTTTTCATGTCACTCTTATTAGTATTAATTTAACGCAAATTTATTTTTTGCTTGCTTTGAAAAATGAATTCTCCGTTTTGTGTAATGTTTAGTCGAGAAATGATTTCTGTTTAACATATAAATGTCAGAATATTCTCTATATCTCCACGAAATTCTCTATTAATAAATTTATTTTAAAACTTCATTTTCTATATTCACTGTGCAGTGTATGTCATAATCTGTACATTAAACACAATTTATGGCAAACTTTTTCGCCGCTAAATAGAAATCATTGTCTGATATGAATGTATGCCTCGAATGACATTAAGTGATATGAAAAGCGAAATATAATATTATTTTTCGAGTTTTAAATGTTTCAAAAGCCAATGCAAAAGCTATTAATAATTTATAATCGAGACATGAAATCTAAATATTAATATGTATTTTGGATATAAATTAAATTTTATACAAAACTAACGGAAAAGCTTCTCAATTAATATTATTGCATAGATATAATGTAATATTAAGTGAATATAATATAGACATACCTCCCCATCCCCAATACAAATTGGAATATCCATTAACGAGTATAAAATTGCTTTTGGATATACTGAGAACCCCTCCAACCAAGTCTGCCGGTGCCGCACATACAAAGACAATGGAAATACATTTGATAATATATACAGAAAAATAATTGATTGACATGTACTCGTATATCTATACGTGTATTAAATTTCATAAGAAAAATGTTTTCAATAAAAATAAAACTCAGAAATATATAACCGATTCTGTAGTCTAAGTGCTACTGAAATATATTTGTAATGAAAATACAGAATATTTTTCTATTATTTCTTTTGCTCTTATTTTTGTTGATTGTCTGAAAGGTTTTCTCGTATCAAATGAATAGCATTACAAATCCTAAATACAACACAAATATATGAATCGATGTATTTGTTTCGGAAAATATTAGAAATGGTTTTATTGTCTTACGAAACAAGAATACAACAAATTTTTGTTTTTGCTATTTCTCTATTGTATTGTGTATTGATATTATATTGCCATTGTATACGGGTAATGCCATTGTACAGTATTTGACCTGGATTATCATTTTAAAGTAATAGCTACGGAATATGAATTTTGATATTTCTATTCGTTTTAAGATTTGTAGTAAAAATAAAAGCAAAGAATATCTAAAAAAATAAATATAGAAATATAGAAATAGTCTTATATAAGAGGGGACAGGCATTTAGATAAGGGGTTGACAAGTCTTATGTTTTAAAATAGGATTTGGATATAAACTGACATTTTTTCTCGAAAATGTATGAAAGATATAAATACAAAAACAAACAGTGAATGTTTTGAATTCATTATAATAGATAAATATCTCAAACAAATATAACAAAAAACTTTTTTCAGTTGAAAACATTTTCTTAGAAATAAAGGCAACAATAATAGAAATAAATAGTTTGCGAAACATACCTGTGTAGGGCAGCCTATAATTGATCAAAAAAAAGGTTAAACAAACACATTAGAAATGTTTTAAATTAAGTGCCAGAATAACAGACACTATCATTGCATTAAAGCAAACGTGACATTTGATTATGTTTTATATGTCTTACTATTTGTCTATTTGTTTGACTCTTGTATTATTCAAAGATTTTTAGTTTTACTTTCGGAGCGCAGACTTCACTCAAAAATAATTAAATAAATACATTATATATAAGTTTATAAAAACAAACACTGAATGACTTTCGTGTATAAAGTTGTGCTTTCTTCAAATTGCTTTTATATGTTTTCTATCTTTCAATAGAGAGAGAGTAAGAGAGAGAGAGAGAGAGAGAGAGAGAGCACATGAGGAAGGAAAACATCATTTATTTAAAAGTAAACATTGGTATGGCTTTAGTTTAAGGGCACCGATAGCTACACCGTATATAAGATAGAGAAAGCCGAGAGAAAATAATATAAGAGTTGGGAAAGTGTGCGATAATTAAAGTCAAACTCTAAGCCCTGTGTTTTTATAAGTGTCAGAATATTCTACTTTACAGTGTGTGGTGTAGTACCCTTTCAGACACTAGACACTACCGTTCCCACTACCAATACTGTGAATTGCAATTTTCCACTGAATTGTTATATAAATAATAGTTTGCAAAAGTGAACACAAAATTCTAGCTAACAAATGGCTCTCTTTCTCTCTCTCTCTCTCTCTCTCTCTCTCTGGGCTGTTGGGCAGTAATGCCTTAACATTTAGATTACTTTTGAATACAAGAGAAGTTTGCAGCAATTTATTGTGAAATACATGTGAAAGAAATAAGTGACAAATGCATTGCTTAACAACACAACACATTGAATATAAAGTCTGACTAAAAATAATTTTCTTAATTAAAAACACTTTTGTTTGCTTGTAGTGTCACTTTTTTAAATCAACACTTAAACACATAAAATGCACAAAATACACATATACACAAAAACACCATATATTATAAGTATCACACATTAAGTTAGAAAAATATAATGAAATTTGACAGAAAAATGCAATTAAGTGCAACACTACTTATATAGAGCTCATATGAGAAACATAATAAAATAATTATTTTAAATAATTATGTAACATTAACATACTTTCTCCAACGTATAGAAATATAGTTTATTTAATACATTAATAATACGAGTCATAAATAATTAAAAATAATTAAATTAATAATATTAAACATAATAATAATTATATTGTATATACATATGTTTTTTTAACAGTTATTCAAAGCTTTAAAAATCAAAATTCAAAAGTGTATTGCAGTAAAGAGTCATTTAAGGGTTTAATGTTAAATAGTGTAATACTGTATGGCATTATTAAATAACTTATACTAAATTTATCAAAACTTTATATCTATATAATTATTATACTGGCTCATGTTTTTTGTTGCTTTAGATAAAATTTATTATTTAAAGGGTTTATAGTGTCAGAGTAGGCATCAGATTATTATTATTATAACTATTATTACAACCATTTTCTACTGGCAGAGCTCGTTAGCAAATATACTATATATTACATGGGATGGTATGGGTAACGACTCTTTAGCGCCGGTACTTAGAGTCTTAGAGTATATAAAAAATATTTGTAATGAAGAAAAAGGATACTCTGATCACAATATCTTATATGAGACTAAAGTCGACGAGATTTGAGTTTATGTGCTATAATAATATGTCATAAGCTGTGAGTTATGAGCAATACTTTTGTTTGTGTCGTATATTCCTGTCAATAGACTGTGAGCTTGAGATTTGGCTACAAATTTATGATCACTTTAATTGAATTTGCAATTTATGTCTATATATTACTGGACGGACAGTCGGACCCTTTTATTGAGATATTAAAAAATGAAATCAAGAAATGGTTGTGCCTTTCGATGCAATCGTATATAAAATGTGATATTTTCGCTCAACAAATGTTGTGTCACATCAATAATATGTGATCTTTTCATTTGTGAGGCTAATAGTGTTGAGAAACATAAGTCACATATCATATGATATGAAAGGCTGAGAAAGAGTAATAAGAAAAATCAGACTTTACTGAGAAGAGAGAGAGAGAGAGAGAGAGAGAGAGAGAGAGAGAGAGAGAGTTGTTAGTGTTGTTGGTCGAGTGGAAAATGACTGGCAATGCCTTGAATGCCCTGCAAATCCTTATAATCACTAATTTCTTGTGTTGTGTTTTTTGTGTTGTTTGAAAAGAGAGAGAGAGAGAGAGAGAGAGCACAGTAATCTGTAATTGATTGCAAAACTATGTAATTGAGTAAATAGTGTGCAAATACTAACTCATAAGCATTATATACAGCCTTAGAGTATAGAGATGTAGAAATCAGTGCTCTCTCTCTCGCTCTCTCGCTCTCTCTCTCTCTCTCATTCTCTCTCTCTCTCTCTCTCTCTCTCTCATAAATAAGATTAAACAAGAAGTGAGCGAATATACAATAATAAGAGTATAAGAGTTCATAACTTTAATAATCCTTTCGCTTCATATATTCAGTGCTCATTAATTTGTTCAGTCAGTGAAGCTGTAGTTAAAAGGTCTGAACCTTAAGCCTTAATCACAGGATTGAATTCCAGTCCCAAAAAACAACACAAAAAACACAACACAAGAAATTAGTGATTATAAGGATTTGCAGGGCATTCAAGGCATTGCCAGTCATTTTCCACTCGACCAACAACACTAACAACTCTCTCTCTCTCTCTCTCTCTCTCGCCTAACACTCACATAATTAGAGCGTAAAAGTTAGAGTCAAATAAAAAGATCAAATATATTAAGACATACAGCGATAGACGTATATATACACTGAGCCATACATATAAGCGCTCGTATATACGCTGTTTAGCGAAAGTGTTGGCCATAAAAATGAGCACAACTTATATGATGTGATGATATATACGTGTATTGATGGCGAGGAGTGGTTATGAAGTGAATGGATATATGGATTGTACGCCACTTACGAGTAATTGAACTTATCGACGGCCACTGACATATGTCTGGGCGCTAACGGACACGAGTATAGGTTGCGATCATCTATAATGTCAGTCAGTATAAGACAATTAAGCGTTAATACTGTTATATAAGACCATAATTGCTGTTATATAAGGGCACGGCAGTGGGGAAGGGTTTATATGAAGTTGTGTCATAACTAGTGGTGGACCGCAATGAGTGGTTTGATGCGAGGGAACGGGTGTTAGTGAGCGGACATACCTTCTGGGATGAGGTCGACGTCGTGAAAGACAAAGCAGTGAAAGTCATTCTCTTTGAGCGCTTCCCGGACGCCGGCGTTCATTAGGACTCCCTTATTGAATGTGTCGCTTCCAAACTGCACAGTCATGCGGAACGACATGTTTTTGTGTGGTGTGGCCAGTGATCGCATTTTTAGGTGTCAAACGCACGTAGTAATGAGACATACGACAGAAAAAGCAATTATTGTTATAACAATGATATGATTATCACATTTTTTATATCGCTTATAGTTTTACGGATAAAGTTTTGTTATAAAAAAAAGTTTTTATATTTTTATAATATAAAATGATACGTTATAGTAAGTAATTTGATACTCCGGCACATATTCTGCACACAATATTTGATTAGTTGATTATAACTGCTATAATGAATATAGCGATAAAAATAACATCTCATATAAAATTGGTATTAAAATAGAAAATTGTATTTACAGCAAACATAACGCACAAAAATAACATTAAATTTTATGGACTATTGTTTTTGCGGACATAGATATGAAAACATAAGTTTCATTTGAAATCACATATTTTTTCTTAAAGGAAAATAAAAGTGATTTTTATGGTTAGAGTTGGCTATAGATGTGAATCGATTTCATGATTTATGATATCATATCTATTTTGGTTATGCTTTTAACTCAAATATAAATAAATAAAAAGTTGGACTCAATTTGATGGTGTCATAAAAAAGAGTTTATTATTATTCACTATATTTATGGATTTAATCTTAAGGTCAGTGAGAGTACAATACTATTTGCTCGTTCACAGTGTGACCAGGGTATCCTTAAAATGAAATGGGTAGATTTAATTACCGTTTTGATATTCTTTATAAATATGTAAACAATAACTCATACAGTAATCCAAATTCTGTATCAAAAAATTATCAATGTTATTGGTTAGCCTGCTTATTATTATGGTGATCCCGGTCTATTGAACCAATGATTGAATTTTATAGGAATATATTTTGTTAAGAAAAGGTTTATGAGTTGATAAAATATATAAATCTACTGCTAGTTTAAATCGCACAGTTATTATTATCCAATATTATCTATAAAAAGCTCATTTCTACTAATAAATTTAAACACATTAAAAAAGTAATTGAAAAAACTTCACATTTGATGATCAGGGTGAATTTCGGGGTTTATTTGTAAGGAAATCAATGGATAGACTAATTCAGAAAGTCTAGCGATTCCTTCAATTATTTATTTATGGGACCATTGATTGCAATATAAATCAACTGTTTTGCCTACAAATGCAATATTTAATGGTTTTTTATTTTATTATCAGTGATACCAAAACCGCAGACAGTCCTCCCGACTCGCAAACACCTGACTCACTATAATCATAGTGGTGGACAGTCGTAAATAACTGTCCACTACTACATGCATTACACATACAGTGATACTAAAGCCATAATAATTCTCGTCCTAATGTTGTGTTCAGTGCTATACTTGTATAATAGACACGTATTTTGAGGTCACAAATATTTGTATTATTTATTAGATATTTATATATAAATAACACAAACATTAGGGACAGGGATAAGGCTCAGGGAGATTGGGATAGAGGATGAGATGTGCACACATTTAAGCCGTGTTTTTGTCTTAGAAAACACACACTAATTGTGAATCCCTCGTGAGGTTTACTACTGACAGTCAGTGCGATGAACAAGGATTGCATGTTTGGTATATATGGCATATCCAGGAGCTATAGAGTATAAGCCAAGTCATTAGAAACGATACAATACCAGCACATGGGGTCTCTCACTATATCAATATATTTGTAATTCCAGTCCATATAACCCAGGGATGAGGCAATGGACAGGGAGTATAAGTCATAAACATTAACAATAGGTATAAAAATGCTAAATATTTGTGTTTAAACATGTCTGGATTACTAGTGAGATAGATATTTCCTATTAAAATGTGTTTGAATAAAATTTTTTTATTAATTCCTAAACACATATGAAATAAGTTAATACCTCCCGTTCCCTCTGAATGTTTGGTCATTTGATGTCATGTTATATACGAGTTAACGGAATGTCAACTCATCTCTAAATTACAAATTTTCTCATTTCATTCAATCGTTAAATTATATGTTGTATTCAAAAGTAGTGATAAAAATATCGCAAATATTTTGTTCATTCAATCTATAAATACATGAATACATGAAAATGCTTTCTAAATTTAGTTACACATCAATTGATTAGAAATTCTCACTC